CGGGGGACCTCGGCGAGGTGGTACGGGGAGGGGGCTGGGGCAGCCGCGCGGTGCCGGGAAGGCATCTCCGGGGCAGTGCAAAGCGGCGGCGGCGTCTCAATAAACTCGCAGGGCAAAAAAGAGCGGCACCTGCTCACCGTTCTTTGTAATCGCAAGCACAGGATATTGAGCCGGCAAACCACCGCCTCCCACCTGTTCTTCCGCAACACGAACAGGTGTTTCCTTATTCCCGTGGGCTTTTCTCAGGTGTGGCCTTGGTTTCGCCGTTACCGTGTGTCGTCCTCCGTATTTATCAGAGGACGGACGCGGTCTGTGGGTACGTTTCTGGACTAATTTAATTTCGTCTCGGTGGGATCGTTCTGGGTTTACACAAGTGTAAATGATGTCTGAAAGTATCATTGATACATACATAAATTGTATTTAGAAGGCTGCATAGGAATTGGCTGTATACTAATTACAAAGCCTCAGCTACATTAAGTGATATGTAATCAGGAACGTAATCAATCTTAGGAAGCGAGTGTTGCTTATTTACAGAAGCAAATATTTTAATCTCTGTACTCAGAGGTATGAATCAAAGGAATAACAGCCATATATTCTCTGTAATCATAATATTTAGAGAAGTATAATATTTCTGTGACTCAGCTTAACACTAGTGAATAAAATTCTTACAGTATTTTTACTCATTTTTCATGTCATTTGGACAGCGGGTGAGGCTGCAGGTTGAATTTTTCTCTTTCTGCTCTTTGTCTTGACCAAGAACATATATTGCCCTGAAAATGTATTCAAGTTCCCAAAGACAGCAGTAGAACTAGTGTACACAAAGTGAGAGGAGCATATTTACTTTTAACAATTTAAATAATACCTAGCATCTAGTCAAGTCATAATGGCCGGCAGTGACTTCATTCTCATTTTTACATTAAAAAATGGCACTTTGATATTTCTGTAACAACAATAGAATATAATCACAATAAAACTGTGACCTGTACTGAACAACCAGTGTTTGTTTCTAGTATTCAACAGTTCGTAGCAAACCAGATCAACTACAGGCCAGTAGAATCCAGAGTCCAGTGCTTTAGGTGCCTGGCTGGAAAAAAAAAAAAAAAAAAAAAAAGTATTTTAAGAATTCAAATCTCACTGAAGCCCCACCTTTTCATGTTAAGTTTGAGAGGAACACTATGCTTGCCTGAAAGCTGAAATAGCAGAGGCCAGAACTCCAGAAGACCTTTTCTGTTCTGTGTCCTGATGGTAGCTTGAAGTTTGATGTTGATTATATGCACATACATTAAACAGAGTCCGCATTTATTACTTTTTTTTCTCCTTGGTTGGTTTAGAACCTGATCAGGATAACCCCAGTCAAAACAAGGTAACTGCTGCTGAAAGACAAGATATGAGATGTGGTTTTTAGCAGACGATGAATTCACAAGAATGATGGGGTGTAATAACTACATAAGCAATAGGTGGCATCAGAAAATCTTTCATCTCGGTGATTTACACTCCTGCAGTCTTGTAGATGATCTGTTGCTCCTGGAGTGCTTAATACTCATTGTGCATAATGCTTTACCATTTTCTGTAGCAAGCCAATAGTGAGAGGAGTGCGAGAGGAAAATATATTTAAACTGGACAATTTACTACTAACACAGGGAAAGTAATGTGAAAGAATTTGTATTTGATTGGGAAAATATCCATGCAAGTGGGAAAGTTTGAATTCATCATAGATGTGCCTCTCTAGTGTGATGAAAGAAACGGAGAATGCCATGGAGATATGTGTTTTATCTATAAAGTTGCACAGTTACCAGCTCTGCAAGAGACCAAAAAACCAAGGGAGGATGTCTCCAGAGCCAAAATCCATCCAGCAGGACTGATCCCTTGTCCTCTGCCCCCGTGTGATATTGGCCCTCATGGCACCACCCTCGCCACAGCCCAGCAATAGCTTCCTGATGAACGCTGCTGCTCTGCAGCAAAGTTATATCTGGCATTTCCTGGCCTCAAGGATAGCAGCTGATTTTGAAATAGTGGTTTCAAGGTTTTTGCCGGCATTTAAACTACTTCCTTCTCAAGTTCCTTAAGAGAATTTAGAGGAATATGTGCCTGGAGATGAGTTATTGATCTGTTTCAACACCTTGGCATTTAGCAATGAAACCTGTTATTGTTAGGAAAAGATTACTCTGGGGAAATGGCTCTCATCATATTTCCCATCATATTTCTGGTGAAAGAAAAATATAAAGGAGACAGTCAGTTTTAGTCCAGCATTCTTATCATACTTGACTATGCCTTTTACTCTTTGATGCTCCAGGAGACTCTCCCTAAGACAAATGTCTTTCCTCTTCCGGCTTAAATATTTTTTAACCATACATTGTTACTTTTCAAAGTCCTATGTTTTCCATTTCATTATTGTTGTGATTCTACAGTTTGCCCTCCTGTAGACAGAAGTTTACTAATGCATTCCCATTTGAATAAACACTTTTTGTACTGGAGCAATATACTGTTAAGTCTTGACAGTTCTTGTGGGTTTTCTTCTTTTACATTTTGTTTTGTTTTGTTTTGTTCCAGCTAGCATGGGATGTCTGTGTTGCTTTTACCATGTGTGCCTTGTCATTTATTCATCCATCTATGCTATATATGCTTCCAATTTTAAGTAAGGCTGGGAGTGTCTTCAGAGCTGTGAAGTGAAATACTGAAACTTTATTTCAAATCCCATTTTGTGCTAAGATGGCCTTTGCGATTCCTTGACAGATTCATGTCTCTTATCATCACCTTTTGGTTTTTATCACTCTTGCTTCCTTGTCTTTTTTCTGTTTAATGCCTTTCCAAAATTTCAAGTTATAGCTCTCGATTTTTGTTTTAATACTTCACAATAATAATGATCATCAATTAGATTATGACTGGCTGGGCTTTAGGGTGCAGGCAAAGTAGGCAGTTGCCTGGGGCAACAGACTGCCAAATTGCCTCTGTTGGCAAAGACAAAAATCAGCTGTTTGAACATCATGAGCAGCCAAACAGCAAACCTCTGCCGGCGCTACCAAAGGAGGCATAGACTGTGTGTGATGGCAGTTGCCGTTGCCAGGGCTGGTTCCTTCTGGCAGTAACTCGTCTTGGCTTGCACTGTGCTGATGCCCCAGGACCAGTAAGTCTTTCCTAATCCTGCAGCCACACAGTCTACACAGCTGCCTACTCAGCAAAATGGGAATACTTCATTATTGTTGTTACAAAATTCACCTTGAATTAGGTCTGATTATGGTTATTTTGTGTTTCACTTTTGCTCTCTAAAAAAAGGCTCCTATTTCTGGCAAGACCATTGATGTCAATGAGATTGCACAGAGGTGATTATTGTATTTGGCCTTAAGGTTTACTTCTTCATTGTGTCTGCGTATGGGTCTTATTAGTATTCAGGACTTCAGATATCTCAGTGAGAGAAATGATATCAAGATTTTAGTATCACAAAAGGACAAAAGAAGTGTCCACAACAAATTACGCTCCAAAACGTGATTACAAATTTCTCGTTAATTTTACAGCTAGTGTAATCACTCAGTAGCACCAAAAAGAAGTTATGTTATACTTATTTTGGATTTCATTCAATGTATATTTTACATAAAATTCTCTCTGAGGGACTGTAATTTGAGGACAAGAATATGAATTATAAATGCAAAATCTATAATAGCAGAACTTCTGTGAGCTGAATTTCTGAGGCTGATAAAGGTTACATCACATGGCAAAACAATAAGACAGTAAGCAACTTAAATTTTTCTAGAAGGATTCATAAAAAGTTAAGTTTGTTATTCTACAGTATACATTGCTGTTATTACGTGCTACATTAGAATGCCTAGGCATTCAAAACCTTTGGAAGTAGTATGTACAGGTCATGAAAACAGAATTACAAAAAGCATCAATATATCCATCTACCCGATGCCCTGCCAGTGGATCATTGCCTTCAGTATATTTGCGTTTGTATTATTCATTTAGCATTTAAATTATTCAAGCAATGAGGCTTCCACTTCTTCCTCTGAGAGACTCTTTCAATGTCTCTCTGTCTCACCACAGGGTTTAATTCCCTCAAATTCAGCCACAGTTTTGGTATGGGCTCTTACTTTGGGGGTTTACATTGTTTAGATGCACATCTTGTTTCCCTGGGTTCTTGGCCAGTAATGGGTGTCTCAGACTACTCCGTGCTGACCCCATCTGGCCAATTAAGAGTGACAGAAATGACCCCAGCATGCGCTGTGCCTCTCGAAGATTTTCTAGCTAGATTACAGTGCTATGTCTGTCATTCTGGCAGCTATCATTCTAGAAAGAACGTTGATTGTAATTAGGCAAGACATGAAACATACTTCTATTTATTCTTTTCCTCATACTATTTATAGAGGATTTTTAATGGTACACAAAAGCAGTACCCTACCCCATATATCTGTAATTCTGTACCACAGGAAATGTGATTGAAGATAAATAGCTGCATTCTCTGTAATCTGTCTTCCATCATAACAGAAATTCAGCAATGATATTTTAGAATAATAGTGCATGTAAGAACTATTATGACTAGACCACATATCTCAAGTTTGGTGTCTTCAGAAGTGGATGCCTAAAAATA